CTGCGGCGGTAAAATCACGTTTGTGATGCACGCGGGCATGCCGTTTATCCCTATCTACCCTGAAAATCAAAACTCCGACAAGTTGGCAAAAGTGCAAACCGCTGTCCGAGGCCGACATTCTTGTAATGGATATATCTCGCGACGACCACGCAGCCGTAATCCGCACGTGTAATAAAAGGCAAGAGAGCATAAGGAAAAGCGGGAGGGCGGACAGCGCTCGGTCGGTCGTCGTCGTCGTCGTCGTCGTCGTCGTCGTCGTCGTCGTCGTCGTCGTCGTCGTCGTTGTCGTCGTCGTCGTCGTCGTCGCTGCGCGTTGCAACAGTCCTCTTCACCGTTACATGGGCCAACTCTTCGCGTGTGTACCGCTTCTTTTTATGCGTGTTTCACTTATGAGACGAGGGAGCCGATTAACGGCGAGTTTCACGTGGCTGCCGCCACCGCCGGCCGCGGCGACGAAGATGCGCCTAACATCGGAAAGAGAGCGTGTGTGTCTCCAAACCGAGAGCGGCCAATAAAGGCGAATGATATTCGGATTAAGTCACCGTCCTCAACAAGCGTCACGGCGGCGAGCGAGCGAGCGAGCGAGCAAACACGCGGGACACCCGGTATACAAGTTCGCGTGATACGCGAGGAATTAGCCTTAAGATGGGGAGCTTACAGTAATGGATTCGGTGATATGGATATTAACACGGTCCAAGTACGGCCGAATGTACATTAATTAACGAAAGGAAGCAGCAACGGCAGCGCGGAGAGACGCGCGCCGGGCTATGATTTCAGCTCACCGTGGAAGAACAGGAAAGAGGAAACCCCCGTCGCTTTATAGGCGCGATACACGGAAACCCTTTTCCTCGCTTCAGGGAGCACCCCGCGCGTTCTCTCTGCCGCGAGACGCGGCGGGGCAAATTGGAAAAAAAAAAAAAAAGAAAAAGGAAAAAAAAAGAAAAAAATTATCACGAAGCTCAAGAAGCGAAGGAAAAAGAAAGTCTCAAAGTCACTCGGGGAGAAAGCAAGCCACGAGTCTCGAAGCGGAGGGAAATCCAATGACCGATGAGGAAATCCGAAGATAAGGGATAACGCTCGAAAGCCTGATAAAAGGGCTAAATAACAGATTATGTAAACGACGACGAGAAGGGGAGAACGAGCGAACAGGAAGTTCTTGAATATCCCCACAACGGACAAGGAGGATCAAAAAATCGTCGGACTCGATGCGTAACGAATATTAACCCCCTATATGTACACGCGGCTGTTTATCTCCGCCCTCCCCTCGCTCCCGCGACTACTACTACCATCCTCCTTCTCCTCCTGCTCCACCTCGTGTCCTCCCCCTCGTCATCATCATCATCGCCACCATAATCGGCGCTTCAACCCCTCGCGGGTACCGCGATAAAATCGTCACGCTACTCTAATCGGGAGAGCAAGAGAGAGAGGGAGAGAGAGAGAGGGAGAGGGAGAGAGAGAGAGAGAGAGGAGCCCGCAGGAAGTCGCATGTAAATTCTCATCGGAACGCACGTGGGTACGAACGTGTCGACGGTTCGTTGCGTGCACGCACTTGTCGCCCGCGTACATCGCAGCCCTTTTCTCTCTCGCGACCCCTTTCTTCCCTCGTCCCCCGCCACCGCCGCCGCCGCCGCCGAGGGACCCTCGCTCTCGCCGCGACGCTTTTCGAATCCAGCGCACTTTTTGTCATGCCGAGACACTCGAGAGTGGCCTCGGCAGCGATTTACGAGCGAGTGTGAAGCTATATCGAGATGACGATATTTCGATCCCTTCAGCCCGGCCGGTGTTGTAAAGGAAAGCAAACGAGTTTTCGGGACACGGCTCGACGGGACGACTCAATAAAGAAAATTGTATTTACACAGAATAACCGTAACACGAGATTCCACGCCAGTGAGAGGGAAAGAGAGACACCACCGGCGCGCTCCGCTCCCCCCTCTCCCTCTCTCTCTCACTCTCGTAGATCAGAAGTGTAACGGTGGTACACTGCGATGATATCCTGCGTCCAGCAAACACTTGAAAATACTCGCGTGTAGAGGCCCTTCGTGCGGTGTTGTGAAATACGGAGCCAAGTCCAATCCGTGCTCGAGTGCGTCTATATCTTGGAGATAACGCCGATTCGAAGCGGAGATAGGACGAGAGACGACAGGCGACGAAACGGGTTATTTACTTGAACATTATATATATTCGCTCTCTTGACGATAGGGTGAAACCGCGGGCGACTCCGTTCGGCCGAACGCTAGTTGCGTTGCAAGATAAGAAAACGCTTTCGAAACGAAGAGAGACGATAAAGCATGCTCGGTTTGCAAAGAACGGTTCTTATTGCCGCGCTCGCCCCAGCACATTTTTCCCCGGCCGCCCTAATCTGAGACGTGCCGCCGATTTCTCGCGCGAGCAACCGCGCGCGGGCGCGCTCGCTCGCTCGGCGCCCGCCGGAAAAATCGCGATACGGCCCTGCGTGTTTGCACACAGACGCACGCGCGCGCGCGCGCGCTTACTCGCGCGTGCACACACCACACACACACACATATACATACGGCGGGCGGACACGTGCAAATAAAAAGAACTCACCCATACACTGGTGGCACCCTGCTTGGCTGGGTGGCTCACAAAAACACGACACGACGCGCCTCCACGGCGAACAGCGCGCAGTTCGAGGGGCGCGGGATACACACAGGTTGCACAATGTTGTTATCACTGAGTTGCGTCGGGCGGCTTAATTACGGCGCGACGACGCGGCACTGACGACATTCATTCCCCTCCCCATCGTCCTCTCACGTTCTCTCTCTCTCTCTCTCTCTCTCTCTCTCTCTCTCTCTCTCT